CATTCCATTCTTTTTCCAACCTTATAAACGTGAAGCCATTCTAAGTCCACACGCAGTCTTTAAAAATTAAATTGAGTATTATTTTTGACTGTGCATTATCCTCATTAGTAAATCTGATCAAAACGTCTCTGGATTTTTATTAGAATTTATTTCTAGATATCGGACAAATCCAGCAGCATAATAGACATACAATTTTAAACAAATAATAAATATAATGCAATAGCAACTGTCTAGCATCTTACACTTTTGAACTTAGGACCGTGTATGCATGATCTTCCCAGTATTCTTTACCCTATTAGCTATCAACATTTTTGAAGGTATCCTAAATAGTTTTAATTGAAAAATATCTCGAGTTTGTGATTGAATGTAGTACAACAACCCTATATTCAATATGCAATTGAAGATTAGGTGTACATGAAGTTATTTAAACTAAAGAAACTGATATGACTTACAACAATTCTCCAGACCAAAAATAAAAGTATAAAATATTTAAATATAAATTCATAAATATGCACAGAGGCCTTTAAGAGTAATGGTCTATTTGAGTAACTTGGCTAGCAGCCATTCCTATCCATCCTACCTGGGGGCGGCAGAGGATCTTTCAACAGCACCATCAACTCTTCTGGTTCAGGGTCCCGCATTTCCATGAAAACAGTCCCAACTGCAGAATCATCCATGCTGTTGATTCTAATATTTGAATTCACTATTCCGGTTAGCTGGCGTTGTGGTAAATGTTTATGAGGTGTCTGTTTCTGTCGGTGATGGCTCAGTTGTTTTGCCTCGCATGCAAGTATTGCAGATTCAGCGGGCCTAGTGCACAGTCTTAGAGCTTCTTTTTTTTCACTGCCCGCCCCAGTTCCAAGAGGGTATGGCATATCTCCGTTTCGACACAAGCCTATATTAGAGCCCAATTCACACCGGATTTGTTTATGTGGCCGACCATCTAGAAACGTATTTCGATCCAGGAATCTGGTAGATAGCATTGAAGAGCTTGATACATCTGATAGATGTATCTTTTGTGGTCCCGTCTCTATTGCATACCCTTCATCAATCAAAGATTTCCTGTCATGAGTAGCCGGAGAAGGATCTGGCGCATTTATGCTTAGATTGCCGAAGGCCACCGATAAATGGGATGAATTAGGGCATAGAAGCGTAGGCTCCTTAAATTGAGGTCGATGGCGATGCTTTTTGTGATGCTTTTGATGAAGGTGATGACGATGGCTATGATGATGCTGACGACGGTGGTTTCGGCGGTGATGTCGATGCTGGTGATTATCATGGCCAGCATCATGTGTACTTTGACGAATGACAGGATGCTGCTGGTGGTTGCGTCGTTTCTGTAAGCCTAAAGCCAGTGGGTGATGAAACGTTTCAGAGGAATTTGGGCCCATCCATTTGGAGCGGTGACGCAACAGGAAAGTGGTGGTGAGTTGAGAAAAGCGTGCCTGAAGCAAGTTGAGTCTGTGACCGGTCCCAGAGAAAGCAGAGTGGCTTAGTGAAAGAGAGGGCGCGACCGTTGAAGTAGACAAAAAAGATGAGGCAGGGACTAAAGAAGAAACTTGCGGCGAAAGACAGACAGGATTGATTAATGAAGATGCTGAATCAACAGGATTTTTTGGAGTGGGGGACTGTCTGGGTGGCAACAATGTGTCTTGTGAAAGCAATGAGTGGCTAGAGGCAGAGGCTGTGGAAGTGCAGAAGCAGGAAGCATTGGAAGGGCAAGAGCAGGCAAGAGTTGAGCTCAAAGGTGTGGATGCCTTGGAATCGACAGAAAGACCACGTGTGAGAGACTCCCCAGGAGGAAACTGAGAGGTGGAAGAATCAGCAGAGAAGTGTAATAATTATGGCAAATTATGTTTGAACAATAGAGTAATGTTAATATAATCAACTGGAAATAAAATAAGAGGAAGAAAATTATATGATAATGGAGTTCTTTACCAATCTTATGTTGGGATTCAGCTATTAAATCCACTACATTTGTTTTTGACGATAAAAGGCACATATAGAGGAAATTTAACATTAGTCTGATAAAGTGATGGTATTGGAAATCATTAACTAGGCCTAGCAAAAATTTAATGAGAAAATTAATTTAGCAAAAGTGCCACATTCAAAAA